AGACGCCATTAAGTCGTGAGTGATGAAATGGATGTTCTTCCGGATCAGCCTGTGGTAGGACCTCTTCTTCTGAGGCAGCTGATAAATGACACAGATAGTGTCGAAGTCCTCTATTGATAGCTCGCACCGAGGAAGAGAACCTACGAAAGGAAACATAACTGTTAGACACAAGCCGAACCGAAGAGGAAATAAAAGGAGCAACTACTATACTCACTAAGTGTTGAAAACTTCGCCGGGACTGTAAGGGCGCCAGGGGATCCCCCTCCATTGTGTCCCATCGCCCCGCTGGCCAGCACCATGAGCTCTTCCATTCCTTGATGGAGCTCGGCAGATCGATCACGAATGGAGTGTGGGAACCCCATGACGTCAGGTAGTACCAACCCCGGGTCTTATCCCCCACGGCAGTAACCTTGGATATATAGAGGGTCTGAAAAACGGAAAGGGGCATCTCCAACCCTAATGACGCCTCTTTCCACAACATCCAGGAGCCAACCATCTGGCTCCAGGAGTTTGGATTGAGCTACGTCGGGGTTAGCCCGTAGGACCTAAGCACCAACCTAAAGAATGGGTGGATAGGCAGCCTAAGTCCGGCCCTAAGGATCGCCTCACTAATGGCCACGCAGCCCGGCCTTGGGTAACAGGCTCTCTCTTCCGGCCCGGGGAGAATCAACTCTACACTGTCTGGGATCCTATATTCTGTCCTAAGTCTACCCAAGTCGGCCTCCCTCAATTTTGATGGGTAGTCCGACGCCCCCCAATGCACAGAAGTATCTGGGGGGCTATCTGGTCGCTTCCATATGTTCTCCCTCCCCCAATTATTGCCCTAGCTATTTCTGAGGAGGTCGCCATAGTGGGCTCGTTCACCCTCACTATTTCTAAGCCCCTCCCCAAACCAGAACTCCCTTCCGAGGTCGTTCGTTAAGAAATTTTTTACAGTCCAAATGGGTGCCGAAACTTACGGGTTTGGAAGTTTTTCCTAGCCGAAAATGGTGCAGGATCGCCGGAAGTATCGTTCTCTCTCGTCGGAGTTGCTTCCAAAACGTCGAAAATCGCCGAAAATTTGAGAGCAAATTATGGTTTTAGTCTTGCAAAGGTAGAAACTCTGAGAAAACCCCAGAGTCCTCCTTTTATAGGAAAAACAAGTCCAATCTCCACCGTTGAATTCAAATGCGATCAATTTAAGCCGTTCGTCGCATCCTCAATCCGGGCCGTTGAAATGAAACGCCATATTTGATCTACGCTCAAGATGTCGCTGTGACCTTCACGCTAAATTGAAACGCGTCACCTCGGTTACAACCAGCCGTCAATAATAATTACTAGCCGCAGCAGCCTTTTAGGAGAATGGGCATGGTACCCAACTGTCACCTTGAAAACACGCAACAGTTGTCAAATCATAGGACGTTTGGGTCACCTCGGATGAGCTCCTCCTCCAACTTTACAAAGTTTGGACGCACCTGACGCGAACGCCCCATTGGCTCATCGCTTCGAACGCTGCGTTTCCTCCCATGCTTTACAAAATTCCAGCCATCTCCCCACGCGTCGACCTTTTCCTGTCAACGCATCGGTGCGAGATGAGTTCCTCCTCCAACTTTACAAAGCTTGGACGCACCTGACGCGAACGCCCCATTGGCTCATCGCTTCGAACGCTGCGTTTCCTCCCATGCTTTACAAAGTTTCAGCCATCTCCCCACGCGTCGACCTTTTCCTGTCAACGCATCGGTGCGAGATGAGTTCCTCCTCAAACTTTACAAAGCTTGGACGCACCTGACGCGAACGCCCCATTGGCTCATCGCCTCGGTCGCTGCGTTTCCTCCCATACTTCACAAAGTTTCAGCTATCCCCACACGTCGACCTGTTCTGTTAGTGCATCGACGGCAGATGAGCTCTTTCTCCAACCTCACAAAGCTGAGACGCCCCTGACGCGAATGCCTCGCATCTGCCTATTATCCTAACCTCGGCTTCTGCGACGAAGGGTCCCATGACTCGCGGCCCGGTCAGGAAAACAAATCCACGCATAATATAAATATTCATTTCCGGATTTGGGGGACCACTGTTACGCCTCGATTATTCCCGCCTCGATACCGAAGTGCCCACGCAGCACCATTTACTCCGACCTGAAAACGACCCTCCCGAAGCTTCTCCGAAGTGATATATCGATTCCTACTATTGATCTGCCGAAGCATCTCTCCTCCGAGGTCGGGATCAAGTGGACCCCGGTTAGAAGATCCGACGCTAATTTAAGATTTGTTCTGCATCTAAGGTTTAAATTGATTTGACGTCCCCATAAAGCTATTTGATGTGATTTATCAACTTTATGTCAATTCAACTCGGGGGAAACAAACTGTCCGCCCACTCTACAAGCGCGACTGATTGACGCCTATGAGCAGACGCTTCATACCGTCAGATGTATACACGTGTTCCACATCCCACGGTTCATACCACCTATAAATACCCAAGGTTTGGCAAGAGGCAGAGGTAATGAAACTCTCAATACACAGCATTCCATAACAAGTTTATATATTCTCCTCCCCCTTTATTGATTGATTTGTGTAGCCTCTGGGCACTGTTCCGACCACCCAAACCTGACTTGACCGTCGGAGCGTATACGGCCGCCACCACTCCCGTCGGTTCCGGCCATGCGCGCCTGACCATTTATTCATTTCGCAGGGAGGAATACGTGGAGTAGCTATAAATTGACCACGTGGAGGAGCCATTTTTGGAGGTCAACAGCTGATATAACATTTAGGGACAAATGGTGTCTTCCTAAGGCAGAGCTAAGAATCCTTTTAAAAGCGACATTGCATTTCCAACACAACTGTTTTTTGTACAAATTACTGTGTACTTTGCTCTAATTCCATCACCAATAAACATATTTTTCTATAAAGTTGATCTAAAAATCACATTTCATTTTTAGTCAGCAACACATCCCATTTCTATAGCCATATACTAGTAAGAACTAAGGATTCGTTTGATTGTAAAGATAGAATTGAATTGAATTGAAAACGAATTACAAGAAATTAAATTGTCTAAAAATTGTTTTCCTGGAAATTGTAAATTATTGTATTTGATTGGTATAATTTTTCACGTGGAAAATGTTAAAATAAAAGTGTTTTTTGGTGCTCGTTTGACTTCATGTTTTTTTACATGAAAATTGTCAATTAAAATGATGAATTTTATTGGTATTGAAGATGAAATTTGTTTCCATTGCCAAAAAAAAAACCAAGAAAATCTTCTATTTTTTGGTATTCGTTTGACTTTGTTTTACATGGAAAATTCTAATTAAATGGAAATATTCTTTTACAATAATTCTTAAAATTTGTATCCATTGCAAAAAAATAATAATAATAATAAATAAATAAATAAATCGCTACAGTGCCCGAAAAACGAGTTCTCACCATGAATTCAAGAAAAAAGGTGGAAAATGCTGACGTGACGGCCAAAGGTGGAAAACCAATTTCTTGAAAAATTTTGTCAATCAAATATGCCAAAAGCGGAAGTTGGAATTAATTTTCCGTTTTTCATGGAAAATTTGGGTCTATTAAACGGACCCTAACATTTTTTTTGTTTAGTTGGCACATGACGTGAACTAACGAATATGACAAGAGCGATTGAATTGTAATAAAAGTTTAAATTCGGTGACTCAATTTGAGATAGAATTTTGAAATCAATTTCATCAAAAAGTGAAGTCTTTTTCTAATTGAACTAGAAGGCCCTTATATGACTAAGCAACCACATGGACCTGGCACGATCAAGATAATCCATCCACGATCCACCTAATATCTCCAAACAATTGACCACTCGATGTATTTGTTGAATTTCATTTATTGACTATCTAACTACTACTTTTTCACTAGAGAAAGAGGAAAAATACTATTTGATCAATCTAGTCAAAAGTGGTCGTGTCGTGCGCGGTAGAAATTTTTGAATTAAAATAAAAAAGGACTTTTGAAAGAGTCCCGTTAAAAGACTCAGAATGTATTTTGAAATAGTAAATTCACGATGAATGTATAGTTAAAAATAAGGAAAAAATTTATATTTACGTGTAATATTATTTTATTTTGAAGAATGTATGATTGAGGAGAGAGATTGATTTTGAAAATAATTGAATCAACCAAGAGATAAGAGGATGTTTGTGAGTCATTTTTATGTAAAAAGTATTTTGAAATAATAAATTGATGAGAAATGTGTGGTTGAAAAATAAGAATTTTTTTTATTTACAATGTAATATTATTTTAGTGAAAAATATGTGATTGAAAAGAAAAGAGAGAAAAATGTATTTTGAAAAAAATGAGGACCAAACAAGGCATCAATAAGCAAATTGGGCCAAGAAGGGGTTGAGGAGAGCTTCATCCATAGAAAATATAGAGTTTGTTTGGGAGTGATTTTGAGAATTAATTTTTTGACCGTTAGGAGAAAAGTGGAGTCCACCTGTGAGAGAAAAAGTCAAATATGACGGCTGGAATAGTAAAATAACGGTTAAAAAATCAATTTTTTGGGGCAAAAAATCGCTCCCAAACAAGCTGATAATTGTTTAAGCCCCATTTTGAAGGGGAAAATGAATTTTTGAATAGTGTATTGATGTGAAATGTGTGGTTAAAAAATAAGAAAAAATTTTAAATTTACGTATAATATTATTTTATTAAAAAATATGTGATTAGAATTACGTCAAAACACTGTCTTAAAAAAATGGTGATCAAACAAGGGCAGTATTTTAGTCAGATCTTGCCCGAGCTCCATTGTGAGCTAGATTAAACAGGTAAACAATTTATTAATCTTGGAGTAGAGTTATGGAAGTGATGTGAAGATGGTAATGTAATTTATTTCTCTTTGAATATTCAGGTTTTGAAGACTTCAATCTTATCCTTACTTTGTGGGCTTCGTATCATCTAAACCCTCTCTTCCTAACCCTTTTCATAGAATTTTCTCTTTGAAGATCCAGGCTTTATTTTTTGGGTAATCTTCTACTGTCAGTCCTTTTTTGTGGGGGCGGGGGGGGGGGGATCAACGGATGGGTTGTCATTATTGATTATTGTTATATATCTTTATAATTTTTGTTATTGGATTTTGATCTTTCTTCCATTCAACTATTGTACTATTTGCTTATAGTTAGATTCTTGTTAATTTTATGCCCAAGATTCTATCTGCATTCTTTGTTGCTGCTGTAAATAAGTAGTGGTGCTAGTTAAACCTGTAAATGATCTTGAGATGAACTATTTGCTGAGAGTCTGCTCTAAATGAAAAGCTGTTTTAGTCCCTGGCGGTTGCCTAGATGGTGGTGTGGTGATGCCTGAAGACATAGTTTTTAAGATGAAAGTGTTCAATTTTTAGAGAGCGAGTTCATGAATTTGTTTCAGCGGGTTTAGGAACCAATAATAACTTTCATTGTAAACCGAGCTGTATAACAACTGGAGCCTAATATTGTTGATTGATAAAGCAGAGTCTTAACGCAGGCTTATGAATACAGGATCAAAGTCCAAGTTCGCTCAGTCCTTCTCTGAACGGTACAAAAAGTAGTATGATTTTTCAAGATGGCATAACATACTGGTAAATCACGAGTTTATATCATAGTTTGAGATTAAAAAAGTCACTAATTTATACATTTGGTGAAGAAGTTGGTTACATTACGTTGAATTTTAAACGACAAAGCCTAGAATCACTCGTGTTTAAATCTTTTAGGGCTCCAGCAATGTCAAATAGGTGCTTTTTGTTCTTAATATGGTTCTATCCTCTGCTTACTATAAATTCTGTAAGGCTGTAACTAGAATGCTATCTCTATAATTGTTATGGTGAGCTTTACTGTTTGGTTATTCTCTGCTTTATCTTAGCCTATGTTTGGCTCATATATAAACTATTAATAAACACCTTAGCTACTTTTTATCCGTTCATTTCAAGGGACCCACAAGCACTCATTTTTATCCATTTGTAATTTAAACCGTCTATAAACACTTCTCAAACATGCTTTTGGACTAGAGGTCCTTTGAGAGCATCAACAATTCTGAGGAACTTGCATCTGTTGCCCTCAAAACTTGGGAACAAGAATGCAAGAGATTTGCTACGTACAAACTTAGATTTGCTACATTTGCGTGCTTGCTTACACTTCCTCGATTGATTTGATCCAACGTTTAAATTAGCTTTAGCAATTAAGCAAGTTCACCTGTTAAAACTTGAAAGGATTATCTTGATCTTTACATGTAGATGGGAAAAGCTATGGTTCAGAAATTAGAAGCTATCAAGGGTGGAGGAGGATCCATTAAAGTAGGAACCACTGGAAAAATCAGTGCCCTCATGTCTTGGGAATTAGAATCCGGTAAATTTTCATCTCAGATTCCAGTGTCGTTTGGAAATGATTCTCCTCCAGTTTCTTCCTCAGTATGCTCCGGTGACAGCACTCCGAGAAGGCCGAAATCTAGAATGTCAGTGGGTGAAGCTAGTAGCAGCAACAAAAATCATAAAGCCCCCGAAGTTACCAGGAAAAGGCACACTGGAACTCATCGAATTCCGATGCTAAAAGCTGATAATGTACCCATGGATGGAACTCCTGTAAGGCAAAAACCTGTCAAAAAGCGGCCTGGCATGGTTGAAGTCGTGGACATAACATGTGGGAATCCAAATAGTACGTGGGTAAACCCTATACGGAATCGTTTAAAGAAGCTTGGTTTCTCGAAACTAACTGAAAGCACTGTCTAATAGTGCAAACTTTCAAGATCAGCCTTCAGCATCCTATTAGTGAATCAAGAAAAGTGATTGGCCCAATTGCTTACTGCAAACTCCACAATATAACGTGTGCTTGGTTTTTAACCATGACCACCGATCCAAGCTTTAGTTTTGCAGAGTCACCCGTAGAAGCCAAGTTGTGTGAAGAGCTACTTTGACGGCCTAATTCTAGCCTGCTAAGGTACCCCATTTCTTGCATTCTGGAGATCAAACAATGCCAATCTGATGTAGTTAATTTTTCAAGCCACTTGCTCGAGAATCGTCGAGCCAACTTCTTTGAATTTGTGCACTATCATGTATAGGATAGGAGTGTAAGTAGAGGGTGTGGTAGAAGATGTGGTTTTGTATCTTCTATTGGTAGGGGATTCCCTTATAGTAATTGGGATCATGATTAGATCCTATCCCTTAGGCTTTTGTATGAAATTTTTAACTTGTATTCTTTATCTGAAATGGAGAATAGGCAGCATTGTGTGGTTATGTAGTCACTGAATTTATCTGCATTCATCTATTTAAGTTACTTTCCTGCACTATTCCTTGACTTCTTGTCCAGTTAAAACCTAAAATTTTGAAGCTGCATAGATTTTTTGCGCTGTGCCTTCTATCATCGACCATGGAAAAAATATAGAATGAGCCTGAGGTAATAATTTGAAGGTACTACAAGAATCAAAATTCTGAGTTTCCCCTTTTTGCACCACACGTAAATGGTCGTGGGTCTAGAGGTGTTAAACCGGTTGGATCCAGGCTCCAATACTAGGTTGGACATGGTCCGGTTCCATTTGGTTCTAACAAGAACCGATTCGAGAAATTCTCAGGTATTTAGGCCTCGTTTGGTATACATTAACGTAAAAATGAGAATGAAAAATATAGCCGTTATGGGCCCTGCACAAGAGATAGAAAGTCAAATATTGTGGTTTGATATGATGGATAGCAGTCATATTTTTCATTTTAATGGGCAAATAATAGGAAACAAACGGGGCTTAGTAAGTGGAACAGTCAGGTTTAAATTTAATTATGGAATCGTTCGTTTCCATTCGGTTCTTAGGTTCCGTATTATAATTAATTTTTTAATTTTTTTTAAAGTTACACTAATTCAATTAATGATATATTCAATTTTAGCTCTTACAAAATAACGTAGTCCAATTTTATGTGTCTTTTGCGTCTCTCTTTACTGTGCTCTTTATAGATTTGATTATTAAAATCACATGAAAATGAAGATAGTGAGCTTAAAATAATTAAGATAGGCGTTGTCGAGTTTTAATTCGATTTCTCTAGAACGGTAGAAACGACATTATAGTAGAGTGACAGATTTAGATAAAACTTAAATCAATTTGATTAAATTGACTTTGAATTGAAAATTAGATATATGAAAATCATATTTTTTTTGTTTGAACTAAATTAACTAGTTAACAAATTTATTTAGAAAAAATAAAATAATTTTACTTATTTAAAATAAATTAATTAAAAAAATTAGGGAGATTCGATTTTTAGGGTTTTGATCTAGAACTGAGAATCGAATCGAACCCATCAGTTCTAGATTCAGATACCGTTCGGGTATTTAATTTAGGAAGAACCGTTTGATTCGATTAGGGAGTTTTGTTCAGCTCTATCCAATAGTTTGGATTTTGGTATATTATTAATATTACTATGTTATTTTTTTACGAGTCTTTTTACAATGTTTAAACTAAATAGAATTACACTTTGCCATTTAGCCATAGAAATCATATGTACAAGAATTATCTCTGAATTAACTGGATTTACAACAACCATACTCCCTTTTTTTTTTTTTTAATAAAACTATAAAAATAGTAAATACTTTTTATACAATTTGAAAAGGCGTAATAATCCATTGTTTTATTTAAAAATATCTTAAATTTTGGTTCAATAAAGAAGTTTTTTTTTCCCAATTAATTATCAATTAATAAACATATATTTTTTATTCTTTCATGAAAAGGGTTTATTTAATTGAAGAAACAAAAATGTAATCAATAAAAAAAATTAAAAAAAAAGTTGAGTGGGAAGAGAAGCTTGCTCCCTTATCAGAGCCAGGTTTCGATCCTGGGACCTGTGGGTTATGGGCCCACCACGCTTCCGCTGCGCCACTCTGATCTGTTGGACAATGTTTAGCTCTATATTTATAAATCTATAAATATGTTCATGCCAATGATAAGGCTGCTACCTGGATCGAGCGTGTCTGAAACTGAAAAATGGCCACAATTTCAAGTACTCTCCAGCTAACTTTCTTCCTATCAATACCCACTAATTCTTCTTCATCTTCCTCAACTGGGTCTACTGCATATTTCTCGAAGCTCAATTCTAAGTTTCTGGGTAGCCCAAGAACGAAAACTCTAGGATGGTTCAGACCCACAACAAGACTTGGCCCAAGCTCTGGTTCAAGAACCACGTGCTGGTTCAGGTTTGGCAAAAATGGAGTTGATGCTGAAGGTGCCGGAATTTACGGTAGCCAGACCCGTGATGATTATGACCGTGACGATGTTGAACAGGTAATCGCTTATCCCATTCTATTCTAGGAATTTTTGATAGCTATTTAACTAGTTTTTGGTAATGTATGTAGGATATGTGAGCTATATCTATTAGCTCAGGTACAATTATTCTAGAGCTTAAATTGAAAAGATTTTTCCTTTAGCTGAATTTTTAGTTCAACCACTGAAGCCATTATGATGTGCTTGCCTCCGCAATTTGTTTCTAAACTTTTACTGGATCTTATTAGTGTTTCCTGTTTATATTCTACAGGGAAATTGAGATGAAACCTGTATGGTTTTGAATTTCTATTGCTAGTCCCTTGTAATTTGGTTCATCTACCATGCCTTGATAGTTGATAATTTTTGGGGTGTGAAAGTAACTTTTATATCCTTATTACATTGTAAGAAGACAAAGGCTACAGATATTAGAAAGATTAACACTATTTGGCTAGGTTGGAGCTGGGGGTAATTAACAAGCTTTTGATTTAAATAAAAATAGGTGGTTAGGGGACTGATCACAGGGTGATATTAAGAATTTGAAACTGAAAGGGATAATTTTCTATTTACCCTGTTTATGATAGGTTAATACTTTGAGCAGAGTCGCAGAGTCAGTGCTAAAATTTTAGATTTGAGTCACATTTTGTTGTAAAGTAATATCACGATTGCTTTTGTCTAAGTTCTTGAGGTTTTATGTAACAATAAGTACTTCCGAAAAATCTCTGCAAAATTTTATGATGCTATGGATTCTATCAAATTGCCCATTAGATATATGAAGTGGATTTAGTCATTAGTATCAGTGAAATTAAGGTATGTATTGGTGTTTGTATGGCGCTTGAAACAGATAATATAGAAATATAGAACAGAATTATAAAAGAAATGGTGAAAGTTTGTTTGCATTAGGAAACTAATTTTGATTAGCCTGCTGTTGCGGTAAAGAAGTTGAAAATGGTTTTGGTAGAAAGATAGGCAGGTGCTGGTTTTAGACGTTTAATAATTTGTTGAGGAAGTTCGCTCTATAACTGTAGCTTGATTTGCTTAGATAAGAAGTCATGATAGAAATTGTACCATGGGCTTTCAGTTGATTAAGGGGCGCAGTTAAAAATCTATGCATTACATGACAGTATAATTTGCCATATGAAAGGTGTCTTCTTGCGCCATGGCAACTGAAATGGCAGAACATTGTCAAGTATACGGAAGTCTTGCTTCTTGTTTAAATTTTGATCACTTTGCTAGTTTTAACTCTTCAGTGAATCTTGAAATAGTCATTTATGTGATGAGTAGTTAATGGACTGGGAGAATTTTGATGACAATAATATCTGTCTTAAGCAGTATTTCAATTATATGGGCATGCTAGCTGTGGAGGGTACATATGATAAGATGGAGGCCCTTTTGAATCAAAACATCCACCCAGTCGACATCTTGCTGATGATGGCAGCCTCGGAGAGCGACAAGCCGAAGATTGAAGAATTGCTAAGAGCTGGAGCTGATTACACTGTCAAAGATTCAGAAGGCTGTAGTGCCCTTGAAAAGGCAGCAAGTGATGAAATCAAGGACTTCATTCTTGGATTTGCAACTATGATTGTAGAGTTCAAGACATAGTTCACTCTACAGTTAGTAAGCTCGATAGAATATGCAAAACCAAGGTTCAAGTCAATAGACACCTAAGCTTGTATGATTTCTACCGTACTACAAAGTAATATTTTCATTTATCTTATTTCTTTCATATGGGGGATTGTTATATGTTTAAAACGATATAATTATACCATAAATATAAAATGTGAAAGAAATAATCAAATTAGATGAAGTGTTCAAGTGGTAGGAAATGTGGCATATGTGTGGAATGTCAGGGGTTCGGATTACTTCCCACGCAATTATTAAAAAGTCCTGATTGGGACCTTGAGCTTCCATGACTAAAATAAATTTTATTTTATTTTATTATTTAATGGGTCAAACTAGCCAGTATTTTCTGACCATTTGTTTTTGTAACAACCCACTTACAATCATTAAAATACCCACTACTCAGTCATTAAAATTCTGCATTACTCTCTGATCATGATGAAGATTGTTACTTCGATCTTGCCTATATAAACTCATATCTCGTTCTGGGAAAAACATACATAAAAAAAAACGAAAAAATCATTTTGCACCAATCCTTCATTTTCATATTCTGAATTTCTTATACTGGGGTTTTTACATATATTCTAGAATACAATTGAGAGTTCTGAAAAAATCACTCGTGATTGCTTCACAAGTGGTTTGTGATTGTTGTATTCTGGGAGTGATTGTCCATGGAGGTCGCAGCAGTTATGGACGGGCAATTTCACTTTACGACATTGTGCTGTCACGAGACTCGATTAGACGATAAGTTTTCTTTCTGTATTTTACCGTTGTGCATGTTACTGCAACTGATTATTTTCTCTAACAAAATTTTCAGTTCAAAAGGCATAATGTGATGACACTTCTTCAAAATCATCCAAGGTCTACTAAAATCTTTTGTAATTTTGAACCCAAGAAATTGATTTTTTTTTTTTTAATTTTTTTTGGCGTGGAATTCCATCTATATTTTTATATAATGTGGCGCATAATCCATTTTTTGACCTAAATTTGATCTTTATATAGTGCTTTGAGTTCCTTGAAAGTCGTGAAAAAGAGTTGACCGATGTACCATTAGATTTGGAAAGAAAAAAGAACTTTCCTTGTACCATCTGGACTCGACCACTGGACAAATACTTGAGTCCTACATGGAGCGGACGTCCAATGAGAAGCTGCCACCTCATTGGATTACCCAACCTTGCTCAATGAGATGAGGCTATTTCGGGACTTGAGTACGACGCTCGCACCATGTAGGACGATACCCACCTATCTCTTCTATTGTGGGTGGCTATTGACTGTTGTTGATAGCCATAAACAGGCCCATAGACAGAAATCGAACATAGTTTATTCAATTCCAATTGGCAATCCCATATCAAATTAGGTCTCAAATCGAGGCAGGCTGGCTGTTGCTTCAGATGATGTGACTTTTCAGTTTGTAGTTATGCTTGCTGCAACCTTCACTCCCTATATTGCATTTTGCAATATGCTTTTGGTCCCCGAGTTTGCAGTTTTTGGACAGGTTTGGTACATAAGCTTCAAACGCGCATAATTTTGATCCACAACTCTAGATTGATATATTTTTTTGGGTTGAACTTCAAATTCAGCTATCTTGTTAATTGGAAATCAATTTTCCTGTGTAGATCTCTGTACAAAACTTTGTGCATTAATTTCCTCAGGTACTATGTACGTGGGTTCTCCGTTCTGCAACGTTTGGTCTTTATCCTCAAACTTCATCTTGCATGGATCTTTAACCTATAAACGTAATATAAATGCAATGCTATAATAAAATTTTGTTCAAATAATCAAATATTAAGTAAATTTAAGAGTCTCAATAATTGTGTAACTCATCATTTATAAAAGTAAGTAATCTCTCAAAATTAACCGTAACATCACAAGTATGTGATGAGTACGAGTCCAACCAAAATTTGAGACGAAAGCCTACACGACAGAAAAATATATAAAAGCAAAATGGTGGGGAAAAGTCTACTTTGGAAGGTGGCAATCAGTCAATTACAATTGGTACACATCTTGCCGCCTCTATCATTTGAGATATGTGTGATTTTTAACTTTCTTTGATGTGCCAACACGTGCCTACACCATATTGAAGATTACCATACCTAATGCTACTTATTAAAAGGTAACGTTCATATCTTAATCTTAAAACTATAACATTTGATGTCCTAACGAGATAAAACCAGCCTTTTTTTAATAACTGATATTGAGTTTGGTGCTGATTTACAAAAAAAAATCTCACCCAACCTCCATGACCTTAAGTTTTAGCAAATAATATTCAAAGTTAGTTAGGTGGTTTGCTCTTGGTGTCTTTGTTTGGACCTTCACCCAACTTCCAAGGCCCTCAAGTTAGTTATCAACACTTATAGGCTGAGGTGCGTTTGGTGTATTCTATTTGACAAAATTTAAGAAATAATTATTTTGAAGGTCACTATGTGAAGAATCGATTGTTTTATCATTATAGACCTACCTCGTATACTAAGATATTTATTCTTTATGATTGTGTATTTCACGGAAGAATTGATGGGTAATGGACGAAAATAAAACATAATGTAGATTAACGGTCCATTTGACAGGACCCGTACTTCTTATAAAACAGTTTATTTAGGTATATTTTCTTTAAAAAAAGTTTTTCCCACAAGACAAATCATTTTCTAAAAAATTATCAAAATATGTTCAAAAACAGATTCTTAAACATACAAGATATAAATCTTTTTTTAATTTTCAACTTCACTAATTTTCACATTTATAAAGATTGAAGAATACAACTTTTGATTGTACTTTAGACTTTAATCTCTTGTTCTGGGCTGCTTGGCAGGGAAAAAGAGGGGCAATATGAATATATTTTATATATGGAATGCTTTATAGATAGGATAAGAATTATATATGTGTGTTATGCTTATGGGGTTTGCAGCTTTTTCTTTATTCTTAAGTATATAAAACTTTATCATTTTTTCTTGATCTAGATCCACCAATCAAATGCTGTGGTCCACTGATTATTAATTTATAATTATAAATTATATAATCATGATTTAATTTCTTAATAGATTCTAATGGATAGAACCTTAATATTTTTTGCCCTTGTTTGAGCCTCATTTCTGTCATAAAAATGTATTTTAATAATATGTTAATGTGAAATATGTGGTTAAAAAATAAAAAAAAAATTTGAATTTACATATAATATTATTTTATTGAAAAATATGTGGTTAAAATGATATCAAAATACTGTTTTAAAACACACACACATGTATATTTTATTTATTTATTTATTTATTATTATTATTTTATTTTTTTTGTCAAAAAATGGGACTTAGTTGACCTATATAATCAAGCTACGTAGAAAGCAATGAGCCGGCAATTTGGACAGTTTCGGTTGTTATCCACACCGCCCAACACGGGTCAAAACCCGCCCCATGATAACACCTTCTTAGATTAATTAATTATTACTATTAACCAAGAGCATGAGTAAACAAGAAGCCACCAGATCATATAACCTTCATGGCTGGGGCTGCTATAAGAATTCATGAAGCAGCCGGAAAGATGACGCAACTCCGCCGGAGAATCGTCCACGTCAATATCCGGTGGAGCATAATCGACAAAGTTTCAATATTCCGGCAGTTCTTTAGATTCATTTGGGATAGAATTCTTGTTTGTTCAATAGGAAGGCCTATTCGGTACAGAAGATTGTCCCGAAGATCCCGTAATTCTTCGTTGTCGTCTTCCATGGAAGCTATAGAGTCTGGCATAGGATATGAAGAAGACCCCATGACTACGTGCAGCAGTAGCTATGAAGAAGACATGAGTGATTCAGATTTAGTTGCCTTAAAAATCAGTCTTTTGGGCGATTGCCAGATTGGAAAAACAAGCTTTATGGTGAGTATCATCTCTATTATTTTTATTTTTATTTTTATTTTTTTCAGTAGTCGACGCTAAATTTATTGAGAATATTTCTTCCTCGATTATGAGCTGCTTGAAGAAATCATCTGGTGTTTCAGTTTAATATATATTTCTTTATATTAATTTTCATTTGGTTCAATGTTTTAGATAAAGTATGTAGGGGATGAACAAGAAAAAAGGGGACTTCAGATGAAAGGGCTAAATTTAATGGACAAAATTTTACATGTTCGAGGAGCAAGGATTGCTTTTAGAATATGGGATGTGGGAGGTATGAATAGAAAAAAATAATTCGTAAATTTAATTTGCTATGTAATTAAATTAAATTAAAATTTCTTTAATTAGTTTATTTTCCAAATCATAATGCAGGTGACAAAAGTTCTTTTGATCAAATTCCAATTTCTTGCAAAGATGCTGTAGCAATGTTGTTTATGTTTGATCTTACTAGCAGATGTACGCTCAACAGGTATTTTTAATCTTATTTTCTTAAATTCGATAATAATATAAAAATAAATATTTTAATGGGTGTGTCTTTGTGTTACTGTAGTATTATTGGATGGTATAACGAAGCAACGAAGTGGAATCAGGTATGAACGACACTTACTTTTTAGAAGTGCATTTGATGTCCTATAAGATTAAACAATAATTGTTAATTGCAGACTGCAATTCCTATATTAATCGGAACAAAGTTTGATGATTTTGTCCAACTTCCACCAGATATTCAATGGACTATTGTAACTCAGGTAAAAAATTCTGTTTGCTTAAAAAAAAATTATGCCCTGTTTGTTTTCCATTATTCACTCGTTAAAATGAAAAATATGACTGTTATTCATCACATCAAGTCACCATATTTAAAAATCTATTTCTTGTATGGAACCCGTAACAGCTATATTTTTTATTTTCATTCTTATACTAATGTGACTCAAATGAGACCTATATATAATTACAAAAAATAAAAAATTGATTCTTGTAAAAATCAAAATTTGAAATTCACAAAAGTAAAACTCTATATGACTTTAAAATAAAGTTACATTGGAATTTGTGCAAAGTAATAATTTCTTGGAATAAACTCCCTGTACAGACCCTGTACAAATGGGTCTGTACAGGTCCACATGTGGGGTCCACCCCCATGTGAGAGCATTTGTACTATGCAAATGAGTCTGTACGAATAGTATTTCTCTAATTTATTTAGTCAATTATTTTTTCGAGATTCTTTAAGTATGATTCTATGATATGATTTTTTATTTTTTTTATAATCTTTTAAATATAAATATTTATTAATATATGTGGTAAAGCAGGCAAGGGCATATGCGAGGGCTATGAAAGCAACCCTTTTCTTCTCAAGTGCCACACACAACATCAATGTGAACAAGATCTTCAAGTTCATCATGGCCAAGCTCTTTGACCTGCCATGGACTCTAGAAAGAAATCTGACAATTGGTGAACCCATCATCGACTTTTAAAATTTATGGGGGCATTTGGTGCTTAGTAACAGGCCGAACTAGAAAGTACAAAAGAAAAGATTTTAATTTCTTTAATATTGTAAATATTGTATAGTCTCCACATCATAAACACTCGTATAAAACGGATAGGATTACGAGAATAATTACGTGAATCTTTTTTAGTCATTGCACTTGTTACATTAGCTATTGAGAGAAGAGAAGCGTATGAAGGAAAAACGAATTTGCCTTTAAGGTTTTTAATTGTTGTTTTATATATCCATTTAGATTCTTGCGGGAAGAGTTTGATCCCACACTAAAAGTAAGGTCAGGCACAAGTTAGACTTTTGTATATTTTCATCCACTAAGTTTTAACTTAACTTTATTTCAGTGTTTATTTTGGTAATTAGGTTATGATTATGCATTTTTTTTTTCATTTTTTCAAGTGGAAAAATAATGTAACAATCGATGCCTCTTTTCAGTCTTTTGTTCATGATGACATTCGATTCTCGGATGATTGGCACTACAATATTCACATATGTAAGATAATTCTACGCACAAATGATAAGATAATATTGTTCAAGGTGTAGCCGTATAGAAGTTTTAATTTGGCTTCTACACAAGTATAATGTTTCAAGTATAATAAGTTAATTTTTATTGAATATAATTCTAAACAATAAAATATAAAAAAATATGAAGTACATATTATTGTATTATACAATGTGCAAAGCACATTTAGAAAATTAATTTAAAAGAAGTCTAAAGTTTATGCACTAATAATTGTTGAAATATTATTTTTAGAGATTTGGCTTATGAAATATTAATTATCGTGTTTAATATTTGAAATATGGTCCCCGTTTGACCTCCATTTTTGGTAATGAAAATAGGAGGAATATTATTTTGTTGAAAAAATGAGTGGTTGAAAAAGAAGGAAAAATTTTCGATTTACCTGTAATATTATTTTATGAAAGATTGTGTGGTTGAAAATAGGAAAGAGAAAAATAGAATGTAATGAAATGTAATTTAATGGGAGCTAAACAGGGGCATAAGGCTTCGTCGTTGGAATACTTCATTAACTTGAGATTTGAAATATTTAGACACAGACACTCATCATCAATAATAGGCACACATAAAAATATAAATAAATAAATAAATAAATTATTTGTCGCCGAATTTGAATTTATTGTAATCAGGTTACTTAACTTTATTTCAATTGCAATTGAGTCATCTAATTTAAATAAATTGCAATTGGGTCACTTTAACTTCATAGTAACTTCATAGTGGTATATCTATTTTGGGATTTAAGTTTTTTTTTTTTTTTTGGGAGAATTCTCCATCCTTCATATTAATTTCTTTATTAAATCATTTTCTACTTACGATTTTCATTGGCTGCATTATGAAGCAGATGTAACGAGTATGTTGACACGAATGATTAACATTTGTAGAAGTTAATTTTAACAGTCAAGTAAGCATATTCTATTATGTAGTTCGATGGAATGCAAACTAATGCTTTGATCGTAATTCAATTGAAGTTAAGCGACCCGATTATTGTAGATTAAAGTTTAATAACTTAATTGCAATTGAGATATAAATTGAATGAAATTTTAAATTCACCAAAATAACTAAAAAATAAAAAAAATACTGCAAAGAGAAATTTTCTTTGATCCTTCCATTTGAGAGAAATAGAATAAAGTTACCTATATATATATATCAAGAATAATGCTATGCAGTTCCACTGAAATTACAACCTCAGTTTAGGTGGCGTTTGATGATAGATTAAGCCCCCATTTGAGCCTCATTAATTTTTATTACATTACATTTTATTTGTCTCTCTCCTATTTTCAACAACACAATCTTCCATAAAATAATGTTACACGCAAGTCGAAAAATTTTCATTTTTTTTCAACCACTCATTTTTCAAAAAAAATACCATTCCACCCATTAATTTTTTCCAACGTAATGAGTGTCACACAGGTGTTAAATAAAATGTGAAATTAAATGACTTATTTAGTATCACTTATCATTTAATATTATATTAACGCTACGTAAACGGGGTTATAACCTCAATGGGCTAAATAATTAGAAAAATGCTTGAGGTATATTGTGGTGTCCATTTTGGTGTCCAAAATGGACACTCGGTGCCTCGGTATTGGCCGAGGCGCCTGTGGGCCCAGGTGTGGCAGTTGCCTCGGCTAATGCCAAGGTGCCGGGTGTCCATTTTGGACACCATAATATACCCATAGCACTACCGAAATAATTATACATCGTGGTTGAGATTCGGGCTGGGTAAATCTCTCGAACCGAACCGAACCCAACGGTTCTTGTCAAATTAAATACCCGAACGGGTATTTGAATTGAGAACCGACGGGTACAGTTCCGTTCTCGGTCCTAGACCAAGAACCGAAAAATCGAATAAGAACCGAATATTTCTAATTTTTTTTATATTGAGTAAATCAAATTATTTTAATTTTAATTTTTTCTAAACAAATTAACAATTTCTAAATCCAAATTTTTGGCCTAATAATTTGTTTCATTTCTAATTTTTTAATTTTTGGCCCAATTACCCATGTTATTGTTTCATTTCTTGGCCCAATAAGATCTAATCCACTAAATAACCCTAAACACCTACACTAAAGTGCATAACGTTATCTCGACTCTCGTACTCACTCTCGCAGCCTCGCTAAATTCCAAAACCAATACAATCGTCGACCGACACTGTGACCTCCGATCGAAACTGTGACCTCCGCCGACCGAAACTTTGACCGTAGTGATCATTTGAACAAGGTAGTTTACTAGTAACTAACATTTCAAAACCATTGAATATATCATTAGTTGTATTTATAAAATATTGTTATAAATGTTAAAAATTTTAATTATAGTACAAAATCGTACGGAACCGAACTCGAACAGTTCCATAATTATTTTTTTTTAAATTGTCCAACCATGTAACGCCACGTGACCAAAGTGTAAAACTTACGAGAATATTGCTGTCTGTTGTACCTTAGAGGACCTGCAGAGGGTAGGGTCCATTAAGTACCATTTCCACTGCGTCCTTTAACATGAACACAACACCTTCTTGCTTTTTAATTTTCATTTAATTCGCAACGCATTTAATTAATTTGCAATGCATTAAAGACACAAAATAATCCCGCTTAAAACGCCTGCATTGCATATTGTAACATCCATTCCTATTGGATTTATAGATTCTGAAGAAATCGAATAAACCCCTTCTTTTACGAATCTGTTAGTGATTCATAGTTTTAGACGTTTTTATTGTCTTAATAATTTTTCCAAAAATCATGGTTTCAACAAGTAAAATCAAATCTGTGGATTTCTACAGGTTAGCTGTTTGTTCGAAATTTTTATGCTTATTGTGTGTCTGCCGTCCTAATTTATTCGATCATGAATACAAAATTGTCAATAGATGTGATTGACGTGTAAAATCCAGAAATAAAAAACTCTTCTTTTTGTCTGTAAGGATTTGTTTTGTAGTTCAGATACTGTGTCTTATGTGTGCTGTTTAGGTGTTTGATTGTGGGCCACAGGGGATATAGGACGATTGAAATTGAGTATAAGCATTGGGTTTGGAAATAGAGTAGTGAATTGCTGTAGGCTAGTGGAAAATTTTGTTACTCAGTGGAACAGTCAACAGATATGATGCATGATGTGGGGGCATTGTTGGACCAACCATTTAGAACAATGGAAGAATTATTTTTGGATAATATGCACATTTTGATAAGTATGTTATTGAAAGTGGGATCGGTTTGAATAAAAGTGGACAAGAAGGGTGATGCTGAGAATTTTAGTAATTGAGATTTTGGTACTGTGGACAGTTTGAATATGTACTGTATGCTTTCGTTTCTGGCCCAGTCATTCTAGCAATTTATCAAACTGAAAATCCCTTTTCTTTGCAGGAAAATTCCCAGAGACCTGACTGAGGCATCGTTGTCAGGTGCTGGGCTGTCACTTATAGCAGCCTTTTCTATGATCTTTCTATTTGGAATGGTAGGAAGTTGATTTCTTGCTTGTCCATTATTAGTAGATTTTTGCACAGATGTAGCACAGGATAATAATAAAGTTAGTCATTAATGGAATAGCAATAGCCGTGTGTCTTCTTCATTCTCGATATTCTAACTGCTATTTTAACTTATAGGAATTTTACAGCTACTGTCATAGCAAACTGGAGTGTAACCACCTTGTGCTTATGCCTTCATATTGCAGGAATTAAATGATTATTTGAGGGTGAACACCTCTACCTCGATTGTAGTTGACAATAGTTCTGATGGAGACTTCTTACGAATTGATTTCAATATTAGGTATAAGAGCACACATTCAATTTTCTTAATCATAAACCATCTACCATTGTGTTTTCTTCTTCCTGATGTAAATAACTACTACAATGTCACTAATCAAAAAGGCTGGGGACTCTCTTTATTTCGTGAAATGATCAAATTCAGGGGCATTTTGATAATTGTTTGTTCATTTTTTTTCCTTGGTAGATTGTACCACAGAAATTAAAACAATTTTTTGGGGTGTTTTATTGGAATTTTCTTCTGTAAATGTGCGCGATTTTCTAAGTTCAACTTTGAAAGTGCAAGATAGTTTTGATAAGAGTTTCATTTCGAAATAAGAAAAATGTATCATGGGATTTTTTGAATGGATGATCAATCAGATTAGAAATCATTCTTAACTAGCGATTTCCTCTAGTCTTCATTGTCAAATCATAACATAAGTATTTCTATGTTAAAAACTTTTCTTCAATTTTAAATCAAAAGCTGAAACTAAAATTTGAAATATAAACTTGCTATTTTCATTAACGTCTTGTTTTTCTCGTCTTCTCTGTTATAATGTTCATTTACCTTTCGTCCAAAAGAAAAAAAGGCTAAAAATTCATTTTCCACAAAAGCTACAATGAAATGTTTGGACCAAAAAAAAAATGCTGCCCAGGTCCTCTTTCTGGCTGTCATACTATTCAGTCATTCTTGATTTCTTTGACTGATTGTAAGGCCGGTAACTCTGTTTGGGTTCCTATTATTTTCATCTTGTGCCTGATACTTATGATTCCATTATTTTCTTAGATTTGGAGTAGGCACCCAACCCCCACCCCTCTCCAAAAAAAGCCTTCATGCATAAGAAGTTATATATCCATAACTGTTAGGCAAATTATAGTTCCTGTCGTATTAGAAATACTCTGGATATTTGTTGCCAATGATAATATTTCATGAAATTATGCAAATCTGTTTTTGCTGCTTCTCGTATGCTTATGCTTGACATCACCAGTTTCTGTCCTGTGTCATTTTTTTTCCTTTTAACCTGTGTACCACATATTGTTCTGATCCTTTTGTAGTTTTCCAGCATTGTCCTGTGAATTTGCATCCATCGATGTCAGTGACATCTTGGGAACAGTGAGTTTCTTTCATTCGCTTCTTTAGGGTGTTAATTCAGAAGTTATCCTAATTACCAAACGTGCTTGGGGAATGATATTGTTGACTTTAGGATGAATAAACTTTCTCAGTGCTTGAGCTATTACTACTAGTATTAGGGGCGGATCCAGCACCTGTGAGTTGGGAACCGCCGCCCGTGCTGGATCGGCCGAGAAAAAAGATTAATTAAGATTTATGTAAAATATATGTGTGTGTGTGTTATTGTACAACATTTACTGTAATGGCATGTAGATCATATGGAAGAGTGTTTGCCTTTCCATATGAGATACCTTGGTTCGATTCCCTTCAACAACATGCTTCTTTTTAACTTTTAAACACATTAAATATTAACTAATAATTATACTAATGCTCAACAAGGAGCATAGCTCCTATGGTAGAGGGGTTATTTTTTATGTGAGACGTATGGGGTTAAATTCTATGCACTTTCACTTTTTTGTTTATTTTTTAATACAATAAATAATAATTAAACAATTATATATTATTGGTTTTCGTTTTCAAAATAATTTCTTTAAACTCAAATTATTACTCCATGATATATATACTTTTATTGTTAGGTTTTATTAATTTATTTTATAAAATTCGAATTTGGACAATCTAAGTGCTGCTCTTTATTCTTTTTAGAGTTCGAATAACACTTTTTCTTTTGGCAAAAATAGTTCTATTTCTAAAAATCATTATTTTCAAAAATTTTCATAACATTAGCTAAACTCGAAGCTTGTCTTTACCGTTTAATAATGCTTTACGTATAAACTGTTTTGTTTAATTTCGTAAAAAACTTGAAATTTGATTATACATATATGATTGAAAAATATATATTTTTTTTATTATTTTAGGTTGTATTGCATTATATTTTCAAATTTTATATGATTTTTATGTTTTAGTGTATTATATATTGATTGAAAATTTTTAATATTATTTAATTAAATATTAATAAACAATCTTAATATTGCAGCCGTCAACGACCACCTTAGCTGACTTAATGTCCTAAATCCGCCACTGACTATTAGGGTGTCATGTCAAATCGATAACCTTTTCTTGAACTTGGATGATAGTGAACACAAAACAGTGTTATTTGAATTAATCTGTAAATGGACCTTTGATACATTAAGGGGTTGTTTGACAAAGCTTTTGATGAAAGTGTTAGCATATGTTTATAAATGTTGATGAAATGTGTGGTTAAAATTAATTGTTGACTTTGACATCAACTTTTTAAGTTATACTTGACAAGTTCTAAGTGTGAAATAGTGTTTTTGGAGTGGTGGCTGCGGTTGTATAATCTATATTTTATTTTCTTTCATTTTATTTATTTATTTATTTATTTTTTTTTTGCTGGGGCTGTAACATGTTCTCCAATGAATTAATTGATAAACTTTGTGTAGATGTACTTGTAGATTTGTCTAGATCAACATTCCTCTAATTGACTATGATTGTCGTCTATTGGGAGAGTATAGAAATCAGGGATCGATTGTATGTTTTCAGAGTGAGCAGTGTTGGAAAGGGGATATCTGAAATGGCGTAGTATAATTTTCCCTCAACTATTTATTTATTTGACAAGGTTCTTAGTTTCTTGTCTGTGTTGTAAAAGGGAAATCTGAAATGGATTAAAAGGAAGCAATCATACTATTCTCACAGTTTCTGCTATCTGATTGCTTTCCTTCTATCATATTCCATTCGGCAGATTTGATATGTACTGTGTATATTACTTAATATATATTATTGAGTAGACGTCTTCTTTTCACAGAATAGGTTGAACATAACTAAAACTGTTCGTAAGTACTCAATAGATTCAAATTTAAAGGCAACTGGCTCTGAGTTTGAGTCGGGACCAATTACAAAAGCAATTAAGCATGATGAGGAATATGATGAGGAATATGGTGAAGGTTCTGTTACACTGAATATACGCAATTTTGATAGAATCTCACACCAGTAAGTTGATTATATACAGCTTGCAAACTTCAAATTTCTAACCCTGTTATATATTTTCTTATTACATCTGTGAATGTTATGTTCCTCTACTTATATTGTGTACTGCTGATTTGCATCTTTGTAGGCATGCCATTTTGGTAGTAAATTTCTATGCTCCTTGGTGCTATTGGAGCAACCGCCTGGTACTATTATAATTTTTGCAACATTGTGCTGGTTGGCCTTCGATTGCTTTCTCAATTTCCTTCATACTAACTATTCACTCTGGCTCTGAATCAATAATATGAAATGACAATTATGGATTTGCTAATGCTTTTGCCTTTCGCACGAATTCCTTCCAGAAACCTTCATGGGAAAAAGCGGCGAAAATTATGATAGAAAGGTCTAGTCTTTTAACAGTCTACTGTTATTGCTCAATAAATATAAATAAACTATGTACATGGCCATTCACTCAGTTCTGAAAATGGAGTTGATATTTTCTATGGTATTGTTCCATTCAAAATCTCACTTGAAAAACTTTGGGTTTAGATATGACCCGGAAATTGATGGGCGCATTCTTCTGGGGAAGGTTGATTGCACTGAAGAAATTGAATTGTGTGGAAGGTACTTTCCTGATTTTATCATTTTGCTCATCTATCAGTATGAAAATCTGTAAATATGTTCTTTACGATTCCGATGATTACTTTCTTTTTATTTTTCAGTAAGTAAAACTATCATTTTTATGGATTCATACTAGAAGGATACTTGTTGGTATCCTTGGACATGAACTTGGGTATGGATATTTAGGTGACAATTTGTGTAAGATTTGAAATGGGTTTGCCTATTTAGGTTTAATTTTTTGAAGGGTTTTATGTTTTAATTTTAGATTTTGATTAACCATTTGATCACATGGTATATTTTTCAGGTCTAAGCAATTTGCGGGTGTTCATTTTTGTGGTTTAATTCTATGTTCTTTTTTTCCCTGACATACTTTGAATTATGTTTACACTGGTTGAAATTCCGTAGAGATGAAATAGGTCATCTTTGCTGGTATATTTCTAACGTGCCAAAAAGTATAGTTATGACTGAAGTTTTGCATGGCAATCCTTATGGCTAATTAATTTTATGACTTGAGTTGTTTTATCCATTTTGTATTTTTTAATACAACTGGTTACTCTTTTTGAAGTTCCCATATATAGCCCTTGTTTGAGCCCCATTTTGGGGAAAAGAATGAATTTTTAAATGGTGTATTGATGGAAAATGTGTGGTTAAAAAATAAGAAAAAGTTTTGGATTGGAGTGTAATATTATTTTATTGAAGAATGTATGGTTGAAATGATGTTAAAATACTGTTGAAAAATGCATTTTTTCCCAAAGAATGGAGCTTAAACAAAGACATAAAATCATCATGCATGTAGTAGTTTCTTTCATGTCTGAATCCTTACACCTTTCTGAATCTCTGAATTAGTTGCTTGGTGCCAACCTATGTTCCACGGACAATTCAATTAGGGTAGGGTGTCCGTGTCGGACATGTATCTATACTGACACTTCTCGAACACTCTTCCATAATCGTTTTTCTTTTTTTTTTTTAGAAATATTATATACTTTTTATCTCAAAGTTATTAGTAAATAACAAATACATACTCATGTTTAAAATATTTCAACAAGAAAAGTTAATAATAAGTATAAAACTAAATTTATACTATATAGATAAAGAATTTAATCAACGTGTCGACGACGTATGGTTTCTGTATGTTTTTCAAAAGTGGTGTGTCGGCATATCCGACATGTATTGTGTTAGAAATATGTGTTCAAGTCAGTGCATCAGAGGTGCCAACATATTGCTCTCTTATTTTTTCTTTTCTTGCATTTCTTTCTTGTGATGCTTATATCTCTTAATTTTTAATTTCAGGAATCACATACAAGGTTATCCATCAATTCGCATCTTCCGTAAAGGAACTAATGTCAGGTAAAAAAATAATGCATCTTTTACAATCTCTTATATAATGCGTTTTGTAATTTTTTATTTTTAAATTTTAATTCTAAAGTTTATTTCAGTTTATGATTTTATGAATCTCTAGCCTACTTTCATTTCCAATTTCATTCATCACAAGTACATGACATTGAGCATCTGCATTTTCTTAAAAGGACACTTGGTGCAGTTAAAATGAAAATTTTTCTCTGTTTTGAGACTTGTTCTTTGCGTCTGCCTTTATCTCTGTTTTTGTCTCTTTGCAAGTCATTAACCTCCAGAGCATATTATATAGTTTAATACTACTGAAACAAAGTTTTTGATTTAGTTGAGTACTTCTCAGTTTCGATACCTGATGAAGCAGAATCTGCCTTTTCTCTACGTGCACAGACTAGCTTTATATTGTTGCAAAGAATTATTTGATTGTGGATAACCTATCATATAATCTGGCTTGAAAATGCCAATCTAGACCTAAGCAAATAATATTTTTTTATCTTACCGCTAATCATGGCATTTTTACAAATTTTATTCTGTTTAGAGTCCATAATCTAGCAGGGCTACAATTTCATGTAACAATAGGAAGTTTGTAGTCCCAGCCACTTTCTGCACAGAATGCTTTGTTTATAATGGGTTTGCCTCCCAGCGCCCTTGCTCGGAGGATTTAATAATTCTTTTTTCTGATTAAGAGGACATATGTCATGTGGTCATCAGCTGGTAGACATTTTTATTTGAGCCATCTAAACTGCGTTGTTGTTTTTGACACAGAGACAATCATGGCCATCATGATCATGAATCATATTATGGGGACCGAGATACGGATAGCCTAGTCAAGGTGAGAATTCTAATATTACCTAAAATAATTATTTGGATAGAGAAATTACAGAATTAGGAAAAAAGAGAATCTGCATGGAGGAACTGTGGATTGGGAGGGATATTCTTACTTGAATCTTTGGATTGCATGCTGCATAGAAGTTAGCTAGCTATATGTTGTAATTGTTGGTGTGAATCTCTAGCCTTTCAAGAATGTGAACGTGGTTTTATCCTTGCAGACAATGGAGAATTTGGTTGCACCTATTTCATTGGCATCACAAGAGGTTGCTTCAGACGGTCAGCCTAACAAGACTGATGATGCAAAAAAACCTGCACCATTAACAGGAGGATGTAGAATTGAGGGTTTTGTACGTGTGAAGAAGGTAAAAAATTTAGGTTCACTGGGGTTCATGTAAGGTGCCAAACATTTTTTGTCCTAAACCAAAAGACTTGCTTAGAGTTTCCCCTTGCGGTGATCAATGTACTGCTCGCTGCCCCAAAACATTTTACTTATTGTTATTTCTTAGAATTCATTATTATGTCCATCTTGTTTATGATCTGAAGTATGGTTTTTGTCATTCAGGTTCCAGGGAACCTCATCATATCAGCTCGCTCAGCTGCCCATTCCTTTGATGCTTCTCAAATGAATATGTCACATATAATTTCCCAATTTTCTTTTGGTAAGAAGTTCTCTTCAAGGATGATGAGTAATATGAAGAGATTGCTGCCATACCTTGGCAGAAGCCATGGCAGGTTGAATGGAATGTCATACATCAGTGATCCAAGTGATTCTAGTGCAAATGTTACCGTAAGCTTAACCTCTCTTGCTTGCAACACTTCCTCCCTTTCAGATGAAAGGTGTCCACTGGGTCTAGAAGAGGCCTAAAATCCCTGCCTAGGCATTGATGGTATTTTTTTCATAAAAGAAAAAAGAGAAGTGTCCATTATTCTGGAAGTATGATTAAGAGCTTAGACTTTAAAGTGCGTAAGAATAATGATTTTAGCTTCTTGAACAATTTCTTGAAGAACATTAAACTAATCCTTGTTCCCAACAAAATTTCTTGAAGAAAAGAAATTATTCTTAATTTGGTTTTATGTTGTTCAAAATTTTGACAAATGTTTAAGAGGTCGAACTGGGCTAGGTTTGCTATTACACAGTGTAAATGGGTAATGAACCCAAAGTTTAACTCTCTTTACACTTATCCTACACTTTTAACAGATTTATTGGTTTTCATATAGAATCATATGACCAAAATTGCATGTAAGGTCAGACAAAATTGCACAATTATGATCTTGCAATAATCCTGCATTTTTGTTTTGGTGTTTTGCAGATCGAGCATTATCTTCAAATTGTAAAAACAGAAGTGATGACAAGATATTCTAAATTTGTTGAGGAGTACGAGTACACGGCTCACAGTAGTTTGGTTCACAGTCTACATGTTCCTGTTGCAAAATTTCATTTTGAGTTATCTCCAATGCAGGTTTGAGCTAATTCATTTGAAGTACACTCTTAAGATTGCATTGACCTGTTTATTTGCATTCATAGCTAGTTTCTTTTATTAACAGGTTTTGATAACAGAAAATTCAAAGCCCTTTTCACACTTCATTACCAATGTGTGTGCCATTATTGGAGGTGTTTTTACGGTCAGCTCTCTCTCTCCCCCCAATTGTCGCATATCCTACTTAAATGCACCGTTTACTTGTTCTTTTTCTCTCTGTAGTGCAATTAGGCAGGCAGACATTTAACTTTTTGGTCGTGTTAGGTTGCTGGGATTATGGATTCAATTCTGCACAACACTATGAGAATGATCAAGAAAGTTGAACTGGGAAAGAACTTTTGAACAGAAATTAGCCCTAGTCAGTGTATAAACAAAATGGATCGTGTATACTTGACATCTTTTATAGTAAATTTAACAGTGTTTTTGCTGTTGAAAAGTTTGAGGTGTTAGTGAAATGCTTCTCTCTATATGCAATTTATTTTTTGCTCCAGTTGCTACGGTAACTGGCAGAATTTGTTTGAATAAGAATGCTAGTGAAACTCGAAGTCGACGTTTGTGCGTTGAAGCACTTGTTATACAAAATGTGGCTTGCAAGGGATTGATAAGCGTACCCTACGCAATAAATTAAAATGTGAAAGTAACTTCACCATTGAACTCGCAGGTGATCCTATTCATCATATGGGTTCTGTAGTTTTTTCTTTGATGGAATGTGGAAAAAAAAAAAACTAGCATCCACACAAAATATTTTGAGCTTTATTTATTCATTTTTACGCTATCCACAATACATAACGAAGCAGTGTCCAATGCAAACTTTGCAAAGCTATCCCCTTATTTCTTAATAGTGTCAACAATCAGTAGGGTTTGAGGTTGAATCGACCAAGAGAACGAAGGAAAAATTATGGACAAACAAACCAAAGAACTTCAAGGGGAAAGAAACGAAAGCCAATCGATTTGGATGCATATTTTCAGTTCAAAAAAATAAGAGGGATGAACCTACAAAAGCCCCAATGAAGCCTGCAGTTGAGCAAATAGCAGAAGCACCATTTCGAGGAGGAGGATGAGATTCGTGAGAAGGAGCTGCAGCCGGGTTTTCCTCCCCCGAGGGAGGGGGAGAAGGAGACTCTTCACCGGCAGGAGCTGGAGATGGTGGCACCTCTGCTGAGGGAGGTGGAGAAGGGGGGACTTCACTGGCAGGCGCTGGAGATGGTATTGTTTGGTTAGAGTTTGAAGAATGGTTGCTTCTATCTGCCATCACAATTACTGCCAGTTTTTCATTTTTCTTACAGTTATCTTCAACTCCACTTATGAAGTAACATGGCCCTGATTGATTAAACTTGAACACTGTGTGGCCATCGGAGAATTTTTCGAGGGGTGCAGCCGTGTTGCAATTTGTGTAGTCATCCTTAGTTACGTGTAGCACAGAGTCTCTATCAGCAGGATAAACAAAGACTGCAAAATAGCAAAAACTTGATGAAGATGAAAGAAAGCACCTAGTTCGGTAAAACTAATTCAAAGTGGAGAAAATAAAGGAAGAGTTCTTCTTACACAGGGTGTCGCCAATCTGAAACCTGTTCATCTCTGCCCACTTATTGAAGTTGGCTGCATTAGGATCACTAGGAGCTGCCCAACTGCCTTTTGGACCTCCCACCTTGAATTCATAAGCATTGCCCTTCTGAGTCAGTAACAGAACACTAAATAGCCCCATCAAATAAAAGGCTTTTCTATTCAATACTAAAACAATTTCAGCCATCGAAAAAGAACTTGAAAACGAGCCTTCTAGCAAAAATCTATATTTTAAGAGTTTTTTTTGTAGCTATTGGGATTTGGGGTGAACACAAACGTTGATGGTGAGGGTATTTGTAGATGAGGTTGCATCTTTCTTTATAAACTGTGGCAGTGAAGCTTTTTCTTCTTTTTATTATTATTCCCCTTTGGGATTTCTTGGCTTCCAGCACAAAGCATATGACCACTTTATTCAACAAGACTGTGCTGGTCTTGATCTCTTTTAGTATCTTATTCAGGGAGTTTATACTTTGCTTCATCATTATCAAGAATTTTCATTTCTTGCACTTTGGGCAATGGGATTTGAATTTTGAAGTGTAGATTCCCCCTAACACTCCAGATTAAACACAGGTATCAATTCTCGGATCTTACTTAGTTCCCTCGATTCCCCCTTCTGATCTGAAATGTTCTCTTGACATACACAAATGGTAGAGAAAGAGACAGAGTATTAGGCCATATATCAATGAAAATATTAGTGTAAGTGCAGCCATTTGAGAAAAAAATCTCTCTCTCAACTTTTTAGATAAAGTGAATAGAAATTTTACAGTGTTACAGACTCTCGAAAATGTACAAATCAGGATAAAGCATATTAGAGTTCCTTCAAAAATATTGATTACAAGTACAAACCCCTTAAGCTTTCAAACGAGATAGTCACTTAACACATTGAATAGATAATAACTTCAAAATTAGCTTGAGTTAAACGAAGTTATTTACAAGACTGTGGGGGATAAGTTTCATCATCTAGAGAGAAATAGCCTACATCAGGCTTAAGGCCCCTAACATAGTGGCTTAGTGAGTTGGTAGATGAAGAAGGACAATAAAATGCTTGATACAAATTTTTTGGCCTCGTCATCGAAGGCAGCAGGGGAATGGTAGAGAGACCAACCAAGTGACATAAAGGCGAAAGAGCGTTTGGGAACAAGAAGTCGAGTATGATGAACGGTTCATGCAAAGCCCCGAGAAATCAAATATATGCATTCATCGAAAATCCTGATTTTCTCCAAAATCAATTATCTGATTTTGATCCTAAATAAGGACCTATTTTCTAAGTTCTAAGACTAACTAGTGAAGAACGTTCAAGTCCAGATTGACAATAGTACTTTTTGACTCTTGAACATTACCAACATGCTAAAACATTCAATGCTAATTTGTAATAATAGCTAAATGCAATATAATCATTCATAACAACAATCACAAGTTCCTATACATCTCAAACTTGTTACAGTCCCTTCATCTACTTGTCGGATAAGAACCAACCAGTCTTCGATAATCTTTGTTGCATATCCTGCCGTTGGTTATCTTGTCAATCACAGCGTTTCCGTTTATTTCCCAAGACAGAGAAAGGATTAAATCTATAAATCAAAATCAAGAAAATATCTTTGTTCTTTATCAATGCTTAAAAGGAATAATTTTCATTTCTCAAATTTTGTACCCTGGTAAGAAAATTCTGAAATGTGTTCTCAGTTTAAGCGACCCGATAACAGCACAAAAGTAGCAGCAGAAAGCAAAATTGCTGACAGCATACTGATGGGGGATCGGGTGGCGCCACTTCTTATGGGAAGTTGTTTTGGAAGAGCACACTCTTCACCATTGAAGAACACTTTTGAAGGGAACCCATCACCTTGTGCAACTTTTATATGGGGGGTGTCTTTTTTCAAGAATGAAATAACAGATTGCTGTTTTCCAGGAACTCTGGGATCTCTATCCGGGTGAGTCCCGTTTACCTCTCCTACCAGGTAATTCAATCCTGGTAAGCCTTCCATGAAGATGGTGTTACTGGGTCGAGTCAGTTTGGTGCCGTTGAAAGAGTAAACTTTCTCGTATCCCGGAAAGGCCTTCTTAAACTGGAATGCAGTGAACCAATCAACGAACGGAATTTCATCCCAGTTAAAAAGTGTGATTCTTGCAGTCCATCCAGTTTTGTAATCAGTGTCAAGATGCCAGTTGATGCTCACCCCACAATTGTCAGGGCACGGCAGTTTTGCCGGCAGTTTGTGGTGTTTCAGTTTAGACCAAGCTATTGCTTTCTGCGTCCTATTAGCGAAAGGCACCAGAAGTGCATCTGGAGGCAACGGCAATGGCGCAGCATTTTGATTGCACCCTGCATCATCATCACAGCCGCATGCGCAGGTGTTGCAGGGTACAACAGAATCAGCATAATAAGCCGAGAAAGAAACACAGCATTTTGCATGCTTCGGCTTGGGATGTGTTATGTTGCAAGAAACTTGCCAACTTGCAACAGCAGAATACGTTGCAGCGATTCCACTGGGATCTGGAAATTCTGTCGGATCAACCCTAAAAGGAGGGCCACATTCGTAAGTTGGATTCAGCAAACCTTCAATTTTCCAATTCTGGGGAGGATAAAGTGCTGTCCTGTTCATATCAGGTGGAAGCTTGAGAACTTCTAACTGAAAAATAGCTCTTGCCTTGGTTTCATTCATAGTATTTGGCAAAAGGGTGCCATTTTTACAGCAATAAGGCAATCTCCCAACCTTGTCATCGTTCTCTTTCTCAGGAGGTAGGTCGGAAATAATTGGCTTTTTCTGGCAATTCATTACAGTCGAGAAGTCAAAATCCTGGTAGTATTGTCCCTGTGGACCATAAATGCAATCTGATGGGTCTTTTCTGTGAGTGTAGGCTCCCTTCATGCTGTTAATGAATTCATTTCTCATCCACTCCCAAGTTAAGTTCCATTGATCAAGTCGACCAAGTGGATGATTGTTGTCAATGGTAACCTGTGCCATGTATTTGTTTTCATATGCCTGAAGAATGTCGTACGTGAAGGACAGGTCTCCATATTGGCGAGGCATGAATTTGGTTTTGATTTTCTTAGCCTTAAATTTAGGATCCCTTTTACAGCAGACATGCATGTAACTTCCTGAAAAATAATGTAAAATATCAGAACAATTTTTTCTTCAATTGTGTGGTGAAAGCCGTATAGTTCATCCATTTTTAAATGGATATCAAAACTTTTCGACAAAAATCTGTCGTCTTCATCTAGACTTTTAAATGAACGAGTATTCAATAAAGAACACATACATTCAGGTCGAATTTTTGCGAAACATTAAACATAGATAGATATATACCTCGACGCGTGGCTCCAGGACATTTATATCCATCATTGACTAGCTTTACTGTCTTAGGCATGGGAGTGGCTGAAGGCTTCACCCCGAATAGCGTTCCTTTAATATTGACCTGCACCATCATCTTAGTATAATCCCCGGCAGTGTCAATGGCGGTTTCCAAATCAGACTGTGGGAATCCGGCAAAAAGGGTCCCATTCTTTCCGACCTTAATCGGAAATCCATCTCCATCTCCATTCGCAACCACCGCCCCATCGACTGAAACCAGCAGCTCCTCATGTTGAAAACCAATTAAAATCTTCCACGATTTCAGCTCATAAGCCCCTGCATTCATCACTGTAGCCATCGCCTTGAACGACCACGCCTGCGCTGAAGTGTTCTTCACCAATGGATAAATTTTCTCTCGACCCATAAAATTATAGGTGACAAAAATGCCATCACATTTTCCTTGCTCGGGTGGAGGCGCCGCCGGGGTATCCGGCGAGTCATAATCTTGAGCCTTAGTTATCTCAATGGTACAAGAAAACACAACAAGAGCAATGCAAGAAAGCACTCTCCAGGGTATTCTTCTTATCAACATTTTGGAGTTAAAACTATGTATATGTAAACGACAAAGAAGAAGAAAAGATTATTTGAGAAAAGTGAGGATATTCACCAGCCGACGCCCCGTGAGACGACACACGGTGCAGGAAGGTGACAGAGAAACTCGAAAAGAAAACTTTGTTTGAGACAGTTAAAATGGGATTATAAGAGTCGCAGAAATTCGTATGACCTGTTCACCTACGTTCTCTTCCTCTAGTTTTACCTATTGTTGCGGAGAAGACAGAGATTCAGTTAAGAAAAAACACAAGATTTTTCTATAAATAGAAATTACAAAGCAAGCCATTTATATATAAATAAAGAGTTGGGGAAATTTGACCCAATTTACAAGTTTGTTTCGTAAAATAAAACATAATTTTTATTTCAGATAATTCATATTTGAAATAATTAGCTAAACGAATCGGTAAATGAGGATTTTTAAAGCTTGCCTACCGCCCGACTTCCAAAAATTCTCAACGTTGTGGGATGGTAATGGCTGTCTGCCCCGTAGCCATTGTAGCGTCCTATTGCATGCACTTATGCATGGGTAGAGAGTGATGGTAGGGTTGGGAGTAATAAAAATACGACTATTTGGGCAGGTTTGATGGATGCCACTTTTCAGTTCATTTGACGAGACAATAAAGGAGAAATTTGCAACAGTAGAATGTAAAGGCCAGGCATTTGAAGGAAATTTGCAGACAATTTGACCATGTTTAATGGGAAATGCGGCTTCAAGTTTTGGCATTTACGTCAGGGAGGAGATGGCAACACAACTCTGGTACAACGTCTCTACAACAAGCTCAAGAATTAAAATATGTTCTGTGGATATATTTCGCTTCACCGTCACAAGAGCTAAACATTCGCGAGTTGCAGAACTACATGGGAAAAGCCTTGCACGTAGATCCTTTGGGTGCGATGATGAGGACATGAGGGCTGCCAAACAGGGTCGAGCATTGAAGAATGAAAACATGGTGAAATCTTCCAAGAAGAAGTGTCTTCCACAATGGAATTTGATAACTGAGATTTTGAAGTATTTACATAGTCGTCTTCTATTTCAGATTCATCCAAATATTGAGTCACCATTGATATCTGTACATTCAAGAATGATGTCTGGATTACAGAAGATTGGAATTTCTCACAAATAACAGAAAAACTGACAAAAAGGTGTGCTGGTTTGCCACTAGCAATTATCACGATGGCTAGAAGTTTGAAGGGAGTTATTGACATGACTAGAGGGGTGCCCTGGAAGAACTAATAGAATGTTTCATGGGACAAGATGACATGAAAGATGAGGCGTTACCGATACTCTTATGCAGTTTTAATCGATTGAAAGATCCAACACTAAAAACGTTTTCTGTGTTGCTCATTGTATCCCAAGACCACCATATCCAACTAGACGAATTGATAATAAGATTAATTTAAGCGGAGCTTATGGAAAGAAGAAGCAGGCACACATACTTCGCCCAAAATCATGCAATATTGAATAAATATAAATTGGAGAATGCTTGCTTATTGGAGAGATTTAATAATTTTGGAGATGAACCTGTGAAGACACACTGACATAATCAGAGACATGGCTTTAAGGATCACTAAGAAGAGCCAAAGCGTATGGTAAAAGATGAACTTCAAATAAAGTTATACGGGAGCAAGAATGGAAGGAAGATTTGGGAAAGGTTTCCTTAATGCATATACAGGATACTACAAAAGAAAGAAAGGTGACTTTATTTTTGCCATCTCTCAATGGGTAACCATCTCCTCCATATATCAAAAAGACACAACTGTGGAGAAAGAGACAATATGGTGGGAATTTACTCTACTCACTCTCTGAATGTTAGAATTTGTAATGAGTACTGCAAGATTGTGTAAACATCACCTTGAATGCAATACATAAGGCATCCCAGCTTCTCTTTTTGTCAAAGGTACCATATGACCAAGAGAAACAGTCACAAATGTATAACAAGGCCATGGACGACAGAAATCACACAGATGCGACAACAAAGCAGCAGCAAATTTGGAATCTCGACTCCGCAAATACATCCATTACTGTGCACGTTCGTTAGCACTAATAAATGTTAACAGTAATAAACGTCACATTACCATCACAAGACACTTGCAGGAGAATTAGGTGGCAAACAACGGAATAAAGTTTACAGTCTCCAAAAAAAACATAAAAGAACTATTAGGTAAATGGACTAAGTTTGCATATCATGTTTGGAAAGGCAGTTGTGTCTGCACTGGCACGAGAATAATATAGAACTGTGCAGTAACTAATGCCGCTGCTCAGAAACCATGAATCTTGATCTGCTCCTTCTTCATAATTCCAGCCTGATTTGAAACCAGATTAAAACATAACATTTGGTCAGAAAACTTCATAATTCCAGCCTGATTTGAAACCAGATTAAAACATAACATTTAGTCAGAAAACTGAAAAGCCCTAAAAATTAAATATCGTCTTTTCCGCCTCACGCTCACCAAATAAAAATCTTAAAGATGCTTTCTTCAACTTCTCTTCCTCCTTGGCTAACTATGATTTCAATTTCTTACAGGTCACATTTTACAAATCAAATTTTACATATGATGAGACACAAAGGAACAGACAAAGTGATCACCTGAACAAGAAAGGTGGAAACATTCTTTCGCTGATCACCTTGAAGTTGAATAACCTACACAAGATAAACATACTTCAACATCCAACTTGCTGAGTTGCAATTAAATGGAAGGAGGCAAAGAAAATAGATCATCAATCAAGAAACAATACACACCTGGCCTAGTTCTGGGTCCTGGACAACAGTACCATTGCAGCAAAACTCTTTCTTAAGATCCTTGAGTATTTTATTATAACTGAACTCTTTCTTCAATCCCTGCACAGTTGTCAGGCTTTTCCTACCATTCCTTTGCTGTACGCGAATATGAACGTATTCTTTTGAACCAGCACCAGAATTATCAGCATTTGCCTCCGCAAAAGGATCTATGCATTACATGGAAATTCCAACAGTCAATTGCAAGAATGACGTAGTTTCCCTCTTACGCTCTTAAGTATGGCAGAGCATATAATACTTTTCAAAAAACAAAAGAAACAAGAGAACAGGAACAGCGTACCAAAAGCAGCAGGAGTCTGGATGTCAAAATCAGACATGAAACTTGGCTGATATGAAAAGAGCGTCTGTTGAAGAAGATTTGATTGCTCAGACCCGGATGAAAGAAATGAAATTACAAATCATAATGAGAACTTAATGAACATATAATATATGGTTGCAAGTTTAGACTTAGATATTAATGCTCTCAAGGGTGGAAGAAAGAAATAAAAATTTAGCAAATTAACAATGATTAATTAATTATCAAATACTACAATACTGTTTGCATTAAGAGACTGAAATTGAATATCCCTGTTTTAACTAGGGAAGAAAAACATCGATGAAACATAAAAATTCAAATATTCGCATCCTAATTTTATCTATACTATCAACATAAACAGAGATATCGAAAATAATTCGCCAGAGAAATAAGATTAGCACGAAAAAAAAAAAGCACGAAAAAAAAAGGGAACTAAAAAAACCAATAAATAATAAGCAGGTCGATCTACAAACCATATAATCTAAGGAAATCAAAAGCGAATAGATCTATAGAAATAAATTTAAACAAACAAAAGTCTACGATTTCAGAAGAGGAAATTTACAGTCAAGAACGTGCACTTCTTCACGATTATAACAATTAAACAAAATAATTCAAAAGATCTATTGGAGGAGAATACTTACCTGATCAAATGATTACGGTATGGAAAATTCTAACCTAAATTCGTATAAGTCGAAGCGGAGAGGGCGAGATTGGGAGAGGGATCAGTTGTGAGGAAAAAGGGTTGGAAAACGTTAGTCTGTCGAGTTTTTATTGTCTGATTGCGGAACAGCGAACAATTTTCTGATTATGAAGAAAAATTACGTGGCGGTTCTATAGCCAAAGGTACGGGAAGTAGACAAGTAAAGCTTTGATTACCCTTAAAATTTTAATACATTTTTCCCTCTTTCTTTTCAACCACACATTCTTCATTAAAATAATATTATACATAAATTAGAAATTTTTCATTTTTGTAACCACACATTCTTTCCAAAATTACTATTCTAAAATACATTTTATCCATATTTCTCATTATAATAGTCATCAAACAGGGACTAAATTTGTTCAAGTTAAATCCATTGATAGCCACCCATTTTTTATTTAGAATATGTTCAATAGTGATTATGAGAATTAAATTTTTTATCGTTAGAGAAAAAAGTGAATCCTACCTGAGAGTGAAAAAATCAATAATGATGACTGAAATAATGAAATAACGGAATAAATTAAATTTTTAAGATGAAAAACTGCTAATAAAACGAGAACTTAGTGTCACCATATTTACATAGCCCCCATTTGGCCCTCATTCTATCCAAATTTTAATGGTTGGAATAGTGTTTTTTTAAAAATGTGTAGTTGAAAAAGAATTAAAATTTTTTGATTTGCGTGTAATATTATTTTATGAAAAATTGTATGATTGAAAATAAGGAAAAAAAATGATAAGGAAAATAGGGGCCAAATAGGGGCATAATTTGATTTTGTTTCATTATGGCCACCCAACTTAATATCTAGTACCACTATAGACGTCCAACTACATATAACATATAACTTTTCACCATAGCTACTCAATTTCTTTTCAAGCTTATCACTAATTTTAAAATGAGTAACAAGATAACTTTACATTGTGTGTGTGTGTGTATATATATATTTTTTAAAATTAAGTTTTGATTTTATTTTTCTAAGTAATTTTTTTTTTAAAATAAGAGTTTATTTTATATTTTTTAAGGAAAGATTTTTTTTAAAAAGAATATTTTTTGAAGTAACTTTTTTTAAAGCAAATTTTATTTTTATTTTTTAATTTTATATATGCAAAGTTATCATTTTACCTCTTTTAAAATTAGTGAAAATTGTGAAAAAATTGGATGATCATGATAAAACGTTATATATAATTGTGTGGTCATAATGAAACATTATATGAAATTGGGTGATCATGGTGATATAAAATCAAATTGAATGGTCAGATGATAAGTATAAAGTTAAGTGATCATGGTAAAATAAAATCAAATTAGATAGTCATGAGGACACTAAATATAAAGTTGGTTGACTATTGGTGAATTTAACCCAAATTTGTTCACATTCCATGTCATCGTTAGATGATGATTAATATGTGGGTCTTGTATGTGGTTTGAGCTCAAGCCAAGTTTGGTAGAGATGTCAAACGGGTTGAGCGGCTCGTCAAAATTCAGCTCGTGAAATTTGACGAGCTCGAGCCAAGCAGGGCTTCAAATCCACGAGCCGAATAGGGCTTGGCTTGTCGAGCCCACGAGCCATTTTAACGAACCCACGAGTTGAGAGTTCGTCAAAAATTTTTAATTTTTTTTTAAAAAAATGTCCAAAATGTGCAATTTAAAAATAATAATAATAATAATCACGAGCTCACGAGCCGCTCATGAGCTCGGCTCGGCTTGAGAGCTTGTGGCTCGTGAGAGAGCAACGAGCCGAACTCGAGCTCGGCTCATCTTCCACGAGCCACGAGTCCGAGTTCGGGCCAAGCTCGTGGGTTAAAAGACTGAGCCGGCTCGGTTCGATATATTGCTATCACTAAGTTGGGCTAAACATGGGACGGGAAATAATGGGAATTAACAAAAAGAACATCCAAATGTTCCAAAAATTATTTAGAGCACCTGTTAGATTGTCAACGTAAAAAGATAGGAAATATATTTGTAAAATGGGAGTAATGTGCGTGTTTGTTTTAAATTTTAATTTAAAATCAAAATCCTTGTAATTATGGATAAGTCTTAGGAAATGTATAAATATGACTATATATTTTTCGTAATGTAATGTACATATATGTATATTTATACACACACTCCAATTCTCCCGTTCTTGGTGAAAAATCTTATTTTAATCATTTTAAAGAGAACCTTATGATCTTACATTTGGAAAGAATCGTAATAATGTTCTCATGCTACATTAACAAATTAACAAATTGACGGACAATTTTGCATATATATAAATAGAGCCAATGTCCGACCAGCTCACGAGTTCAAGAAAGCATTCTCAAAATAAAAATAAAACGCCATTTAGCAGCAGTGCCTTCAATTCTGTGGATGGAAAACCAGGTGCAACCATATTTTGACACTATATGCACGTATAAATACGTGTTAGATGACTCCCCATCATTCCGCCACCTCTCCACCTTGCCTAGCCTCCGTGTTCTTCTGCCACCTCCACGTACTGTCCATGCAAACGCCCCCAAAAAACTATAAATACACCCCAACTCCTACCCCCATTATTCTCCTGCACCAAACACAAACTCTATATGCACACAATGGCTAAACTCACACCACTCTTGGCTTGCTTTGTGGCTCTTCTTGTCCTCACCACTGCCTTCGGCTACAGCACCACCATCACAACCACGGTGGTGGAGGAAGAAAACAAGGGCATGGGCTGCAAGAGGCAGTTCGAGCAGCAGCAGCAGCTCTACCACTGCAAGATGTATTTAACTCAACGGAGTCCATCTGAAAAAATTTCACTCAGAAGTTTCAAGAACCTACAAACAGAGGAGCATCTCAACGATTGCTGCCAACAATTGGAAAAAATCAAGGAGGGTTGCAGGTGCAGAAACCTGAAGCGAGTTGTGCAGCAGCAACAGCAGGAAGAAGGAAGCTATGGGGCTCAAGAAATGGAAGAAATTGTGGAGAAAGCACAGTATCTTCCCAGTAAATGTAATTTGGAACCTCAAGAGTGCCAACTGCGTGCAGTGGTTTTCTGAATTATGAGACTTGTGGAGGTCGTTGTTCTGTGTAGAATAAAGATGTTTTCTCTGGCTCTTTGGCTAGTTTAAGGGGGAGAAACTGATGTAAAAAGCACACAATCTTGTGTGCTTTGCAGTGTATTATCTTTTCCTTTCAGAACTCTTCAACCCACAATCCAATCTTCCCTTGACAACTAAAAAGAACGCAAGTGAACAATGGACAACTAAAAGAATCAATTTATACAATCTTTAGACTACTGAGAAAATAAATACAACAGAATACAACCTTAGGAAGAGTAGCTTTCTTAGGTTCCTGATAAAGAACGCCACGAGAAAACTATAGTCACAATTACCATGAAAATTAGATGATTGACAAAAATATATCAACCGGGTACTCGATTCTGCTGCTTCCTTCTGTTCTCTAGAGTTGCAAAATATCATCCCTAAAGGGCAAAGATGCAGCAGTCCACCCTCCAGAAATATTATGAGAACAAAATCTATCCATTATGTTATTGCAGGTTGTAAGCACTCATCAGACAAATAACTAAAAACATACAAAATATTGAGGACCGAGAATGCACAAAACTAACTTTTATTCATAAATGGGGGGAACCCCTTGGAACTTTCATTGCAACAAGAACATCTAATATTGAAAATTTCACATAAGCCATTCAAAAATGGCTAAAAACAACCATAGAACAGTGTGTTAACCACACTGTAGATCACACAGCATCACTTGCAGACTATTATCAGCATAACATTTAGAAACCACCACGGAGGCGGAGTACAAGATGAAGGGTAGACTCCTTCTGGATGTTGTAGTCAGCCAGGGTCCTTCCGTCCTCCAACTGCTTCCCAGCAAAGATCAACCGCTGCTGGTCTGGTGGAATACCTTCTTTGTCCTGAATCTTGGCCTTCACATTGTCAATAGTATCCGAGCTTTCAACCTCCAGAGTGATGGTCTTCCCAGTCAAAGTCTTGACAAATATTTGCATACCTCCCCTCAACCTAAGCACCAAGTGCAGAGTAGACTCTTTCTGGATGTTGTAGTCCGCCAAGGTACGGCCATCCTCAAGCTGCTTCCCAGCGAAGATAAGCCTCTGTTGGTCTGGTGGAATACCCTCCTTATCCTGGATCTTTGCCTTGACATTATCAATGGTGTCTGAGCTCTCCACCTCCAAGGTAATAGTCTTGCCAGTCAAGGTCTTGACAAAAATTTGCATACCTCCACGGAGCCTCAGAACCAAGTGAAGGGTGGATTCCTTCTGAATGTTGTAGTCTGCCAAAGTGCGGCCATCCTCAAGCTGTTTCCCAGCGAAGATAAGCCTTTGCTGATCCGGTGGGATGCCCTCCTTATCCTGGATTTTGGCCTTAACGTTGTCAATGGTGTCTGAGCTCTCCACCTCCAAGGTGATTGTCTTGCCTGTCAAGGTCTTCACAAAAATTTGCATACCTCCACGGAGCCTCAGAACCAAGTGAAGGGTGGATTCTTTCTGGATGTTGTAGTCTGCCAGAGTACGACCATCCTCAAGCTGTTTTCCAGCGAAGATGAGCCTCTGCTGATCCGGTGGTATGCCCTCCTTATCCTGGATCTTGGCCTTAACGTTGTCAATTGTGTCTGAGCTTTCCACCTCAAGAGTAATGGTCTTGCCGGTCAGAGTTTTGACAAAGATCTGCATTCCTCCCCTTAGCCTAAGCACCAAGTGAAGAGTGCTCTCCTTCTGAATGTTGTAATCTGCTAGAGTCCGGCCATCCTCCAGCTGCTTGCCTGCAAAAATCAATCTTTGCTGGTCTGGGGGAATACCTTCTTTGTCCTGGATCTTGGCTTTAACGTTGTCAATAGTGTCAGAGCTCTCGACCTCAAGAGTGATGGTCTTGCCTGTCAGAGTCTTAACAAAAATTTGCATTCCTCCCCTCAATCTGAGGACCAAATGAAGGGTGGACTCCTTCTGGATGTTGTAATCTGCCAGGGTACGGCCATCCTCGAGTTGCTTACCAGCAAAAATTAGTCTTTGTTGGTCTGGAGGAATCCCTTCCTTATCTTGAATTTTAGCCTTTACGTTGTCAATGGTATCGGAGCTTTCCACCTCGAGGGTGATAGTCTTGCCAGTCAAGGTTTTCACGAAAATCTGCATCTGTAAAGTTAAAACAAAAAACAAGACCGTATCAGAATTTATCTTGTTAAATTCTATAAATGAGAAAATATATGACTCGTGAATAAATACCGAAAAAATAGCAAATCGAACCACAGAGATTCATTGACTGACAGACACAGAGCAAAAACGATTTGAACTTGGGAAAATTAAATAGAATATATTAAAACATCCTTAAAATAATTTATCTAATTCATCGAAGAAAAATGAAAATCAAACGGTGCATCAAATAAATATAAATATAAACCCATAGGAAATATCATCATAACGCAGAAATTTCTAGAATAACAGATGACATACGGGACCAAAATCCTGAGTTCCGTATACTATCATAATCCTTCTTGGATTTCAATTTCATCGATTAATCAGATCCAGTATCAATGAACGTTCAACACTCGCCTAGAATTTTTTTTCCAAGAACCGGAGCAAATTATAAAATCGATCGACACATCAGATCACATGACCATGGAGCAAGAACAGATCAATCTACCATAAAATTAATGAAGAAAAACTCAGAATAAATCATTGCTAAATCGTCTATAGCTATGCCCCGAGAAAAAATTATCAGAAATGGAAATAGTTACGACTCAAAACGAAATTCTAAAGCAGAGAAATCTCAAATACCTTGAAACGAATATCTGAGAGAGCTTTACAGAAAAGATTAGAAGAGAATTCTGTATTTGATGATAGATCTGCATCGAGGCGGCCCCTTTATATAGCCTGGCGACCGTCTTTAGGTTGAAACCGACCTAGATAGACAACCAATTGGATCACGCCACGTGGCTAAATGACGTGTAGTGCACCAATACCACAGGGTCAAAGGCAAGTTATCCTTTTCTTTGAGGGGTGGAGATAAATTAAGTGCGTGTGCGGACCACTGAATCACGCGCTCGCTGCAAGTGGTGTAAATGTTATTGATTTTTGCTAGAATGATTACAATAATAGCATTGATTTTAATAATTAAATTACTTTGATTAGCATAAAGAGTGGACTGAAAAATTAACTCTTATGAGAATTATCCCTTGTTTGGACTCCAATTTAATGATTTTTTTGGAAAAAAAATATATTTTTGAAATAGTAAGGTAGTGGTTGGTTTGCATTTTCATTTTCCATTTTCATTTTCAAAACGATTTTTAGCTTTTCCCTTTGAGCGTTTTCGACATTTATAACTGAAAACGATAAAAAATCATTTTGCGTTTTCAGATATAAATTTTAACTTGTTTTCGAAAATGCATTTTCGAAAATGACAGATCAAATACGTTTTCCGCATTTTTGAAAACGGAAAATGGGTTGAAAATGGCAACCACGGCCTAATTTTTTGGATAATATATTGCTAAAAAGTCGGAGAAAATTTTGAATTTGTGTGTAATATTGTCTTATTTAAAAATGTGTTATTAGAAATGGAGAAAGGAAAATATATATTAAATTAAAATAGAGCTCAAACAAGGGATTAATTTGCAAATTTAAGGCTTAGCGTAAGAAATTTATTATTCAGCCCAATTTGGTTAGATAAAAATCATATTTTTAAAAATTTTGATAAAAATTGATTAAATATATAATTAAAAAAGTTATAATCTCATTAATATGCGTCTAAATTTATTTTTTTAATTTTGACTTAAATTTTAATTATAGTTTTAAACTCAACCTAACAAGACTATTTCCCCGTGAAAATCAAAATAGGCGTCCATGAGAAATAATTGAGAGGGAGTAGGTGAACAATACTATTCACGATTATTAATAAAATATGATTTTATATTAGTCTACAAATGTTGATTAGTTGCGATTTTGATGTGTGATAAGGATTTGTGATATACCGGGAAATGCTTCTTATGCATCACTTTCTACGTATTTTTCTACAAACTAATGAGATGACGATAAATTGAATTAAAATTGTCAAAAAGATTTATCATTTAAATAATTGTGCTAATGTAAAGTGGATTAATAATAAAAAGAAATTGGGGGTTTTTTGTTTATTATTTGGTTTACGAGATTTTGATTTGGTCAAATCTCATTATGTCATTTGTTTAGCAAATAAATTCATAATGTATACGTAGAATAATCGTTTTGGTGTACCTTCTAGGTTTGGAATCTCATGGACTCCAATAATCAATCTTATCCAACAAAGGGTTTTGAAGTTTTGATTTTTTTATGATATACAAAAATGATTTCTTCAAGGATATTAGATTGAGGCAGTGTTTGAGCTACATTATTTTGATAATAATGCATTCTTGAATAGTGTATTAATGGGAAATGTATGATTAAAAAATAAGGAAAATTTTTGATTTGCATGTAATATTATTTTATTGAAAAATGTGTGGTTGAAATGATGTCAAATCACTGTTTACGAATGTATTTTTTTAAAATAATGTGATTCAAACAGGCCCTGAAAATGATTTAAGAAAATATAATTTCCAAAAATCTTTAACAAACAAGTTGTAAGGTATTAGAAAGATTGATAGCATTTTTAAATATGGAAATAAATTTATTAAGCCTCTATTTGGTATCAGTTGAAATTTAGATTTTAATTTAAGCACCAGTTTGAGTCCCATTAATTTTTATTACATTACATTTCATTTTTCTATTTCCTATTTTCAACCACACAATCTTCCATAAAATAATATTACATGTAAATCGAAAAAAAATTCTTCATTTTGAACCACTCATTTTTTAAAAAAATATTATTCCGCCCATTAATTTTTCCAGTAATGGGGGCCAAACAGGGGCTAAGTCAAAGTTAATAATTCATTTCAACCACATATTTAATGGGCCACACCACGTTTCAACCATACATTTTATCAATTTCTATCAAAATTTACTAAAAATATTATTTTAATCCCCATCAAACAGGAGCTAAATATGATTTAATATTTTAATTATGTAAAATAATCAAAATTAATTGTTTACACTTGAAACTAAATAATTGTCATTTAAATAAAGTTGTATTTTGAAAATAAACAAGTTTAGTTGTTTTTTTCCTTTAAATCGTATATAGGACTGCAAAGTCATAGAGTTTAAGGAGATTATCATGTTAAAAATCCTCTCTGTAGACTGTTGGGTGCATAAGATGTTCGGAGATAGGTTCAGTAATCTTTAATATGATATCAGTGAGACTAAAGTTGTGGCAGTGTGACCAATGATCCATCAAAAGCCTTCTATTTTGATTGTCATAAAGGGTCTATTTGACATAATTATTATTTTTCGCAAAAGAGTTTTGTCAAGAAGTTATCTTAATTTTTAATTAATTAAAAATTAATTTATAAAGGAGCTTCCTATTCGAAAGTTTTTAAAGGAACTCACTTTAGGATTCGTTTAACATGACTTTTGCTTCGTCTAGAAAATTTTTTGGAGGAAATTACCTTAGTTTTTGTTTATAAATTAATTTTTAAGTAAACTTTGTATTTCAAAAGTACTTTAAAAAGCAGTCATATTGGACTAACTTCCTCTAAAAATTATTCTAATCATAAGAAGCACCGTCATAAAATTAATCAAACGAATCCCAAAGCAACTTTTTGGAGCTAAAGAATTCATTTTGTTTTTTCAAAAATCATACCAAGTAAACCCTTTGACCAACTTCATCTAAAATTTCTTTTAATTGAAAAAATATTTTTATAAAATTAGACAAAAGAATCCAAAAGCAACTTTAAAATCTCCAAACCTCACTTTTCAAAACACATGGCAACATTTTATCATGAAATGCTTAGAACTGACAATTTGTGTGGCGAGACTACCCTGCCGCTCTTTTTTTTTTAATCTTTCCACACTATCACTTAAGCCCTATTTGGTTTTACCTAAAATTACATTTTTTTTTATTGGTTTTGATGAAAACTAATGAAATACGTAATTGAAAATTTGATTAAAAAAAAAATTATGGTCCATTAGGATTATGCTACTCTTTTGGTTTATGGTATTCATCTTTTAAAACTTTTATAAGGCTAATTAGCACAAAAACGTCCCCATGTTTGACTTTTTAGAAATCATACCAAACGAACTCTTAGACCAACTTCATCTAAAAATTTTTTTAACTAAAAATGTATTTTTCATAAAATTAGACAAAAGAGTCCAAGAGCAGCTTTAAAATCTCAAAACCTCACTTTTCAATACACATGCCAAACGAGACCAAAATATTTTATCATGAAATGCTTAGAACAAACAATTTGTGTGGCAAGACTATACTACAGCTCTTTCTTTCCTTTTCTTCTCTTTCTTCTTTCCACACTATCACTTAAGCCCTGTTTGGTTTTACCTAAAATTACATTTTTAATGGTTTTTAATAAAAATTGATGAAATACGTAATTGAAAAATTGATAAAAAATTATAGTCCATTAGTATCATGCCATTCTTTTTGGTTTATGGAATTCATCTTTTAAAATTTTTATAAGGCTAATTAGTGCAAAACATCCCCATATTTGACTTTTCAAAAACATACCAAACGAGCCATTAGGCCAATATCCCCTTTACTTTAAAAGAGAGGATTCAACATTTACTGTTCAGCCTGAGACAGTGGTTTTACACTTAACTGGTTTTGTACTGTAGCTGAACTTGTTATGCCCCTTTACTTTAAAAGAGAGGATCCAACATTTACTGTTCAACCTGAGGCAGCGGTTTCACACTTAACTGGTTTTGTATTGTAGCTGAACTTGTTATGCATTATTCATCACAAAAAAAAAAAGTTTTTCTGAAAATAATAATGAAATATGGCAGCATTACTGCTGTCTTTATTGATTTTATAAAACCATTTGCTGACGGTTACTGTAGTTTCACTTAAAAAATATCATTTCACTTCGTTAGATGTTGTAGCTTCCAGAAATGAAATTAATGAGACCACTTTATTGCCTCCATTGTTGATTTACACAAGCGAGTTACTGTAGCTGTCCTTCCAAAAAAGATCTTCTCGCGCATCATGAGAGAGTGAGACAAAAATTATGACAGCGAATTGTAGGAATTTTTTATCATGCCAGTTACTATTCGTTCAGGAAGCATTTCATTATTGACCTTTACATGCATACTGATGAAGCATTCACACCTAACCGGGTACATCAATTTCTTTTCCTTGGATAACTGATCTTGTGTTTTATATCACATAATATTTTTATTATAGAAATTGTCGCGAAAAAATAATAAACATTAATAAATAATTGATTTTTTTTAAAGAAGAAAGATGAGTTATAAGTATTTTTAAAACACACGTTTGATTTACGTTTAACTATTTTCGATATTCATTTAGATCATTCAATGCATCTATGACATAGTTCTCGAAATGAGTTTCGAGAAAATATAGAAGATTTATGCATTCGACTACCAGACAATCGTCAATGAATTTATAAAGTTAGGATATTATCAAAATTCTTAATTTTTTAAATGATGTCTCTTTTGACACTAAAAAAATTTAAAAGTTTATTAGGAAATTTTTTAAATGACATCAAAAATTATTGTCACGAAAAAATAATAAATATTAATAAAATAATTGATTTTTTTAATAAAAAAGACGAATTATATGCTTTTTTAACACACACGTTTGATGTACGTTTAACTATTTTTTATATTCATTTAGATCATTCGATATATTTATGATATAGTTTTCGAAATGAGTTTCAA